GTAACAGTATATGTTCACTGTAAACTTAACTAATTATTTAACATTATTTCATCATTCAGTGTTACTATAATAGTATATGTTCACTGTAAACTTAACTTATTTAACATTATTTGACCATTCAGTGTTACTATAATAGTATATATTCACTGTAAACTTAACTTATTATTTAACATTATTTGACCATTCAGTGTTACTATAATAGTATATATTCACTGTAAACTTAACTTATTACTTAATATTATTTGACCATTCAGTGTTACTATAATAGTATATGTTCACTGTAAACCTAACTAATTATTTAACATTATTTGATCAAGCCACAAAACCTTGAGTTTCACTGTTTACTTATCAGAATTATTTTTAGTTTTTACCCAAATCTACATATAAGAACCTCTGATTTTGAATTGACAGACTACAGAGAAGACAATTAATCAACAGCATCTATCACTTATGGGCTATCATATGATGTGAACATCCACAGCCGAAAAATGTGAACTATTTATGTGCTAGTGGGGATGTATGGATTGTACCATAAACCCTCAGATTCAAAATTCAGGCATGTTAAACATTAGGCCAGAATCAGCCCTCTTATCAAAAGGTTTTGTTCAGTACCAGTAGAGAAAGTAAAACATTACGGGCCTATTTCCTGAATCATGAGTAATATGTTTCAGTTTTCAAATAATAGTTTGTGATGCCACACTTCTACTGAAAAACCATCTGTTTTAAAAGTTTCATGTGACCATATTCCTTATCTGGCTGCTTGACCATCAGTTTAGGCTTTGTTTTTTCACTGGTTAACAATATCTTCCCTAACTTAGATGTTAGAAGTTTTTGATGAATAAAATTTAATTTTACCCAGCAAGAAAAATGTAACATGTTCATGCAAAAGCAGCTTTTAGGCCTAACTTTCTGAGAGAAAGAACATTCAGTTGCGTGACACAGATCTTCTTTTAATAACATGTACAAAACTTTCAGTCTTGATAACCATAAGTTTATTGGTATACTTCTATTTAATCAATGATATATTTTTAATATTGTTGACTCTTTGAAAACTGTAAATATGATTAAATAGAAGTATACCAATAAACTTATGGTTATCAAGACTGAAAGTTTTGTACATGTTATTAAAAGATCTGTGTCACGCAACTGAATGTTCTACTCTCAGAAAGTTAGGCCTAAAAATGAGTTAATGATATATTTTTAATATTGTTGACTCTTTGAAAACTGTAAATATAACTCATTTTTAGGCCTAACTTTCTGAGAGTAGAACATTCAGTTGCGTGACACAGATCTTTTAATAACATGTACAAAACTTTCGGTCTTGATAACCATAAGTTTATTGGTATACTTCTATTTAATCAATGATATATTTCTAATATTGTTGACTCTTTGAAAACTGTAAATAGTTATAATTATGTACATGATCTTGAGATGTTGATTTACAAGCGTTGTTCAATATAAATGCATCTTCTTTTTGTGAATTATTTCAAAAACATAAGCAAAATAATTTCAATGATTTGGGTAAAACAGAAAGACCAGTATGACACTAATAAGTTAATGGATTTTCTACTTTAAAATTGTAATGTGTTCGACAACAACAACACAGACATATTATGCTTCCCAGAAACTTTGCACATAATAATGTAAACTTTGAGAAACACTTACCTGAGGTCCTGCACAGCTAACCTTACACACATCACAGTAATGAACTTGAGGAGTTTTGGGAGTTTTTTGACTCTGGGGCTTCCTAAAACCTTTCTTAAAGCTACCCCAATTACTAGATTTAGTCTTATGGTTCATTCCTGGCCCACTAGTGTTGCTATGCAGACTTTCTGTGTTCATATTGCTTCCCCCAAAACCTAAATAAGTATCTCTAGGCTCCTGGACACAAGTTTCTGAAAAATAAAAAAAACAAGTAGTTTTAAATGAAATCATTTATAGCATCTGCCCTTGAACTTTTCCAAATAACTTTAGCTATAACTTGTATTTTGTCACAGTTTAGTAAATCACAACAAGATACACAAGAAAATCTGCAACAGATGAAGTTAGATAACCTTTAAACATCCACATTGTGGTAATTTTTGTAATGACAGTAATTTTAACAAACTCGGTTCGTTTTCTTTTATCACTCTGGTAAATATTTTGATTGAAGCTTCAACAGACAGTAACAACTCCTACACAATAAACCTTTTATCATCATCAGTGAAAAACATTAGTCAAACCGTCCAACTGCTATTACTCATTTGTGGTATTAAAATCTTATGTAACAAGTATTACAACTGTAACTATTACTTATTTGTGGTATTAAAATCATATGTAACAAGTGTTACAACTGTAACTATTACTCATTTGTAGTATTAAAATCATACGTAACAAGTATTACAACTGCTATTACTCATTTGTGGTATTAAGATCATATGTAACAAGTATTACAACTGTAGCTATTACTCATTTGTGGTATTAACATCATATGTAACAAGTGTTACAACTGTAACTATTACTCATTTGTGGTATTAACATCATATGTAACAAGTTTTACAACTGTAACTATTACTCATTTGTGGTATTAAGATCATATGTAACAAGTATTACAACTGTAACTATTACTCATTTGTGGTATTAACATCATATGTAATAAGTATTATAACTGTAACTATTACTCATTTGTGGTATTAAGATCATATGTAACAAGTGTTACAACTGTAACTATTACTCATTTGTGGTATTAAGATCATATGTAACAAGTATTACAACTGTAACTATTACTCATTTGTGTACTGTAGGTGTCACCACAGTTGTTCCTTAACGATCCACGTCCAGCCCCTACAAAGTTTGAGACATTATAGGGTGTTTGAAACTTCTGGCTTTGCCGCTGAGATACATTGGATGTTTTGGTCAAATGTGTTGGCTTGGTTGCTAGAAAATTAAATAATAAAGTCAATAAACTTATAAAGAAAACTTTAGGGATATTTAATTACAACTTCATTTAAAGAGCTGTCAATGTTTTTTCTGTATCCTGTTTATTACAGTTGTTTAATTAGCAAAATAATTTTACACAAGCTAGTTAATCAAATAAATTGGTGGACATATTGGAGAAAATACAAATATTTAAAGAACATAGCCATATTTTAACCACTAGCTACTGTCTAGAAGGAAAGATAGATTAGCTTACACCGGTCTTTTCTGGTAAGTTACAGCATGTTTAGTAGGTCAGAGTAATCAATGACACTATCATACACTAGTGCTCAACTCAGAGCAATTAATGACTCTATTAAACACTAGTGATTGACTCAGAGTGGCCATGAACACTATCAAACACTAGTGATTGACTCAGAGTGGCCATGAACACTATCAAAGACTAGTGATTGACTCAGAGTGACCATGAACACTATCATACACTAGTGATTGACTCAGAGTGACCACAAACACTATCAAACACTAGTGATTGACTCAGAGTGGCCATGAACACTATCAAAGACTAGTGATTGACTCAGAGTGGCCATGAACACTATCAAAGACTAGTGATTGACTCAGAGTGACCATGAACACTATCATACACTAGTGCTTGACTCAGAGTGACCACGAACACTATCATACACTAGTGCTTGACTCAGAGTGACCACGAACACTATCAAACACTAGTGATTGACTCAGAGTGGCCATGAACACTATCAAACACTAGTGATTGATTCAGGATGGCCATGAACACTATCAAACACTAGTGATTGATTCAGGATGACCATGAACACTATCAAACACTAGTGATTGACTCAGAGTGACCACGAACACTATCAAACACTAGTGATTGACTCAGAGTGACCACGAACACTATCATACACTAGTGATTGACTCAGAGTGACCATGAACACTATCATACACCAACACTAGCCCCAGTATACATTTTTATTCCACTAAACTGTGAATCCTAATCATCCACAACAACAACAAGTGTTTTATCAGGAAGAAACAAGATATTTCTCTGACTGGTAAATTATCTATGATACAAATTATTCTTTCATGTGTAACATGAACACTTTACTTGCCAGGAGATATTACCACCAAACATAAATACAACCTAAGCCATAAATTTAATTGTAAATTTGTAAGAATGACAATATGAACAAATACCTCTGTTTTCATAATAGTCATTTATTAATGAAAGATCGAAGAAACCACCAGCGTTTGACATTTTATTTGTGTTTTTATTTTTATTTCCACTGTAGGCAGCAGTACTAGGTCCAAATCCATAGAAAAAGTTGCCTTCAGAAAAGAAAAAACAAAAACTATTAAGACATGTACTTTTAAAACTAACAAAAAAACCCTTAGAGATGCTTTTGTTGATAATTGTAACTGTACAATCTGGATAATTACTTAACCTGTATTAAAATTAATTGCTTTTCTAAGGATTTAGTGACAGAAAATAGGAGCATAATAATGGTTATTGACCTCATAAATAATGTTGGTTATATTCTTTAAAAAAATATTTGATTATTAATTTTTGTTATAGTTATAAGACTATTTTTCATTGCTAGCCAAGTACACAAACAGACCTAAATCTAAGTTGGCCATACTTTGTGAAATATCATTAACAACTAAAGGACAATGTTATATCAATGTATCCTAATAATTTTAGGTTTTATATACTTTTAGTCACTTTGTTATATAAAATTTGTTTATTAATTTAAAAATTATTTTTTGTTGTGATTTACAGCTAGTTTCATAAGTTATTGATAATCCTTCACATTATCCACTAATACTAATACTGTTTGAAATACTTAACTTACAATTAGGTCCATTAGCTTTTTAAACATATTTTACTAAAATATTTATGCTGTGTAATTGTTTGTGAGTCAAGACTTTGTTAAATAAACTGTCTAATAACACACGAGTTGCACACAAAATATCAATCAAAAATAGGGACAATAATCCTAGGAACTAGGCAATATGATTAAATGTCTATGACCATCAATTGTTTGTTTGTTTTTGAATTTCGCGCAAAGCTACACAAGGGCTATCTGCGCTAGCCGTCCCTAATTTAGCAGTGTAAGACTAGAGGGAAGGCAGCTAGTCATCACCACCCACCGCCAACTCTTGGGCTACTCTTTTACCAACGAATAGTGGGATTGACCATCACATTATAACGCCCCCACGGCTGAAAGGGCGAGCATGTTTGGTGTGACAGGGATTCAAACCCGCGACTCTCATATTGCGAGTCGAGTGCCTTAACCACCTGGCCATGCTGGGCCCAACCATCAATTACTATCTTGTATACTAGTCAATTAATCAAAATTAGGGTTTATGCTTATTGCTGTTTTGATTATTCCAACTATTGTTTAATTAAAATCACAATTAAATAAATTAATAAAAACCAAAGTTTCTCATTGTCACTATCCAAAGTATCAAAATATTATATTTGTTTGTTAAGCACAAAGCTACATAATGGGCTATCTCTTCTGCACAATTTTAGTCTTTGTTTTGTTTTTTAAGGGTTTGTTCAGCTTGGTCATTTGGTGCATCAGGAGGGCGTCCCGATTTCCACCACACTTACTAACACAGACCATGCTGTGGCAATGCTATTAAGGTAACTTACAACTATCAGTAATTTTGAACTGCTATATATAAGGAATGAATCTGTATTTGTTTTTTGTTCCAATAAAGTAACCGATTTAATCCTCCTAACTTCATACAAAACCTAAATAAAAGTTACTTACAAAACAAAATTCTCAAAGTAAATATCTATTTCACGCTATCAGTGAAGAAAACAGTTTGTAATACGGAATAAGCACTTCATAGATTACAAAAGTGTAAACACAACCTTATGATCTTCTTTCAGTACTATTTCTACTTCATAAACACTTGAAATAACTGTACAATTTACTCTGTAATGATCATTAATAACAAAAAAATATTTAAAGATAAGAAAAGACGTGACAAATTTGAATTGACTTGCTATAAAAATTCTTCTCATTTGTACTATTAAAGCTATGACAAGGCTTAGCCAGCCAGAGCAGGATGTTACAGATTAACTACACATGTCACTATAAGGTAAAATATCATCACACACATATATGTAAATCTAGCCAGCCAGAACCTTATAGTGACATGTGTAGTTAATCTGTAACATCCTGCGATGATATATTTGGGTAGATTTACATATATGTGTGTGTGTGATGATATTTTACCTTATAGTGACATGTGTAGTTAATCTCTAACATCCTGCTCTGGCTGGCTAGATTTACATATATGTGTGCCAGCCAGAGCAGGATGTTACAGATTAACTACACATGTCACTATAAGG